GTTTGACACGATTCTAACAGGCTGTAAACCCTTAGAGTTTTTACATTTAACACATAGGCAGTATATCTTACCTCCACTGCTTAGAGCTAAGTCCTGGTGGCTTGCAAAATTGATGAATTGCTCGACCCCTTCCAAATACTCGGTTGATATATTGTTTGTGCACGGATCCATTCTCGGGATGAATTCCACATTTTTCCCTCTTTTTTTTCTTTCTTCTCTCTTTTCGCTTTTGAATTTTTTTCTCACTTTTTTTCCCTCAGATCTCGGAGGATGAATTGTGAAAGATGAGGGAGAGGGTTCTTTGTTTATATAGGCAAAATATTCCGTCACACATTTGTGACTGTTTTGCAACCAGTCTGTGACGTAACAAAAAAGAGTAAGATGAGAGTGACGTGGCGCTTATTTATCACGTGTCCAACTACTTTTCTGGCTGCCGACATAAACTGTGAGACGGAACAGCGACGCTTTACAATCGTCACAAATTTGCGACGGATGTACTACGATCGTAATTGGGTAAATAGCTTGTCATAATGTAGTCGTACAAGAGTCGCAAATTTGTGACTACTTAAACCAACCGATTATTGGTCTTACTTCTGTCGTTAATTGGCGATGGGTTTACGACTGTATCAGTCCGTCGTAGTTTTGTGACGAGTTTGCTACGATATTTTGCGTAGTCACAAATCTGTCACGAAACGTCACAAACGAGTCGCATATTTTTGTGAACAAAATAAGAGTCACAAAAAATTGTCACCGATTGACTGTTTTTTTGTAGTGATTGTGTTTCTAGAATTCTTCATAACTTGTGCAGACCACATGTTTTTTCTTCTTGATTGATTAGTGATACAATAAGAAGAAAGTGCATATTTTGTGTTTGTAAGATGAGTTCAAGAACTGGAGTCTTTAAGCTCCTAATTTTGCTTTTCTTCCAAATTTGTTCCGTTTCCGCGCTCACAAATGCTTCAGACGGTAAGTCTAATCAGATGATGATAAAAAAATGATACATGAAATTTACAATCTGATTTAGTTACAAAATTGGTGCAGCTTCTGCTTTACAAGCCTTGAAGAGTGAATGGATCAGGTTTCCTAGGAATTGGGAAGGCTCTGATCCTTGCAGAACCAATTGGGTCGGAATTACATGTAACAATAACCGCGGCATTTCAATGTAACACCACC